AAATAAAAAATAAATAAAAGGTCATCGTCAAAAAAAATAAAAGGTCATCGTCAAGTGGAGCCTAGTTCAAAGCCCAGAGATGGGACTGGTTTGGTGAGTCACGTAGTTTCCACTAGAAACCACAGTGAGGAAGCCTACAACCTGTGGAGTGACAGTGGCCCCCAAACCCTGCACCAGCGCAGTCCAGATGTCCCTCAGCACACACTTGCTCACACACTCTTGTCTCTGAAAAGTGGCCAAAAGCGGTGGGGGCTGGGATCAGCAAACCCTGGAACTTGGGTGTGGAACCTCAATGCTCCGTGCACATGGTATAAGAGAAAGGAGCAGGGTCCCAAGTAGCACCTGCCCCCTTCATGGCCTTACTTATGGCTGCAAAAGGTAAGAAGGGCAGTGGAAGAAGAAATGGGGGACCAGCTGGTGGGCTCCAAGGGCAGCACACAACAACGGACTGATGAGAGGTGTAGGGGTCAAGAGAAGAGAGGAAGGGGCTAGAGGGACCATCTGAAATTGGCCACTCTGGAGAAGGAAAGGAGCCCTGCCTCAGCTCTCCCAGTATATCAGGGGCCTGAGACCCAGAGGCTGCGCTCTTCAGGCCTTTGGGTGGGAGAGAAAACATTATTATTATTACTAGATCTATCTTCCTCAGGGACCAGGCGTGCCAGGACTTCACGTTCCAGAATAGGAGCATGTTCAACCCACACAGATGCTTCTATTCCAGGGGCAGGCCAAGGTCATGAGGAACTAAAAACTGCTTTTCCCAGAAAGGCAGTTGGGGAGTATTGAGTGGAAGYCTTCCAGCTGTCTGTGGGGTCAAGCCCCTCTGAGTCCAGTAGAGGAGGTGGAAAGCTGTAGGCAACATACTTTAAAGAAGGACATCTCTCTTTACACTGTGCACATCTGGGCTGGGTGACTCCTTGCCACAGGGGACTGTCTGGTGTATGATAAAGACATTTGGTAGCATCTCTGGACCATTCTCCCCCGTTGCAACAGCCAAATATTTCTCTGGGCATCACCAGGTACCTCTTGGGAGCCCTGGTGAGAATCATCACTGTGTAGAACAGAACCTATGTGGATGTTGAGGGCCTTGTGCCACATTCAGGTATGTAGGGAGCCTGCTATTCACTTGGATGTTCTTTGATGCAGGGGACCAAACCCAGAACCTTCTGCATACTAAGCATGAGCTCTACAGCTAAACTATACTCCTAGCCCCAAGCCTCCTGTTTTATGTGCCCTGTCCCYTCTGCCTGGAGTCCTGTCCCCAAGCTCTACCTGCCATCTTCCAGAACTGAACCCACATCACCACTCCYGAGAATGTTCTGTGGACCTTCTTATAAGTTTGATCAACATGGTATTGTGGAAGGCAAAATAGTGCCTCTTCCCCAGACGTCCACATCCTCATCCCCAGAACCTGGGATTGTGTTCCCTTACTTACAAAAGGGAGCTTGTGGGAMTGAGGATATGACTCAGTTGGTAGAGTGCCTGTCTCACGTGCACAAGGCCCTGGGTTCAATCCCCAGCACCGCAAAGAGGGGCGGGGGGAGTTTGTAGATGGAATAAGTTAAAAGAATTTGAGATGGGGGGTCATTCTGGATTATCCATGGCCCAGTGTCATCACAAGGGTCTTCATAAGAGGAAGACAGGAGGGTCAGAGCTAAAGAGGGAGACGTGGAGGTGGAAGCACAGGTCAGCAACTGGAAGACACAGCACTGCTGGCTCTGAAGACAGAGGAAGGGGCCACGAGCCGAGGGATGCAGGCACCTCTAGAAGCTGGAAAAGATAGGAGAGAGAGGTTCTCCCTGAAGCCCTCAGAAAGAACCAGTCCCGATGACACCTGACTTTGGGGCTTGGGCCTCTGGCACTGTAAAATAACAAATTTGCCTTTTTCTCGCCAATTAGAAAAAAATAAGTTACCTACAAAGTCTCTGTGTTAGCTTTGCATTGTTAAAATAACTGGGGCTGGGGTAGTGGCTCAGTGGTAGAGCACTTGCCTAGAATGTGTGAGACACTAGGCTCAATTCTCAGTACCACATATAAATAAATAAAGTTCCATCAACAGCTAATAAAATATTCAAAAAATATATTCAGAAGCCTGGGGCAGATGATRATGGTGTATGGGTGCTCCAAGAATCCCATTTCCTGGTAGAACCATGTGGCTCCATTCTAATTTATTTTCTTTGTGGGGAGGGGTTCTGCACAGAATTTAAGAGTTGCACACCACCCCTCAGACTTGACCTCCCCAACCCTGTGGAAATGCTGTGACAAGGTGGAGGCCTCAAAATGCAGAGGGTGGCGGGGGTGGAGGGCGGGGTGCTTGGCTGGGACTGCCCTGAGGGAGGTTACAGTCCTATGGTGACAACCAGAGGGAACTGTAGGTTCTGACAGAGTTCCCATGGCTGGATGGCCTCAGCCCTATGGGAGGAAAAGATTGGACCTGCTTCCAGTATTGGTGGCCTTGGGCTTCTGTTTGATTGGCTATTGGAGGTCCCCTGCAGTTCTGTAAGAATGTTAGGATCTGCTTTTACATTTCTGAAAAAAAAATAAAAAAGAAAGAAAACATTAGTATTCTGATACAGCTTGCCTTGAATCTGTAGACCAATTTAGGGAGTATTGCTAAATTAATCCTGATAGGTCTTCCAATTCGTGAACATAGGATGTTTTTCCATTGATTAGGTTTATTTAATTTTTTTTTCTTTTTTGTATCAGAGATTGAATTCAGGGGCAGTTAACCCCTAAGCCACATCCCCAGCCCTATTTTGTATTTTCTTTTTTTTTTTTTTAATTTTTTTTAGAGAGAGAGAATTTTTAATATTTATTTTTTAGTTTTCGGCGGACACAACATCTTTGTTGGTATGTGGTGCTGAGGATGGAACCCGGGCCGCATGCATGCCAGGCGATCGCTCTACTGCTTGAGCCACATCC